TCTTTTTTCTTTCTTTCCTTTCCTTTCTTTTCTTTTATTACTTGAATTCATTATTTGAGGACTCTAACTAGACGAGTGGTACCAAGATAGATGACAATAGCTTATTAGACTAACTTGCTTGGAAGTTATCTCATTAAATAGTAAATATCCAAACACAATAAATTGATATAGATGAAATTATATAGTAAAAAATGACTATGCAATAATAGGGTGACACGTAGTTCCAAGTAAGAAATTTTTCCTATAATTTTTGCAAAGAAGGGAAGCTTCAATACTTAAACGAGAACTAGAATAACTAAACAAAATATTTTCAAGAGAATGAAAAAGTTTAGGATAGTGTTTTTTTTCTTTTTAAGTAGTATACATCTTACTCAAGTGTTTTTGGATCTCTCTTACATCTTGTCTTATCTCCCTATTTAAATACATATTCATGCACTTTATGTAATACAAAATTCACATAGTACATCTTTTCTTATCTCCCTTACAACATCCAATTTTTTTTGTTTTATTCTTGTCTTATTTATTTTCCTCTTTATCTCTTCTTCTCTTGTTTGTGTTAATTTTACACCTTATTGCGTAAAATTCTTCAATCTTTGTCTCTTTTTGTTCCTGTATAAATGACTTCCTCTTAGAAGCACTTGAACTTAATCATGCACAAACTTGGAACTCAATAAATTTACCCACATCAACATCCAAAACAAATGGTCCATTAGACTTATAGGCAAAATCCATTTATCTACCATAATTAACACTCTAGTTATCCAAATATTCAACAATTTTTAGAAAACTAGTCAACTAATAAAAGATCGAGATTAAGACCCAATATTTTTCTCTTTAGCTTTGGACACTCAGTTTGTAAAGATAACATCTTCAATAAGAGTATCTAGCCTATTAGAGGTAAGCATCTCATTCATAAACCTTGTTCTACAAAAATAATTAGGGACCATATAGATTCCAATTCAAGGTTTATTTGGCTACGTGTTAAAGGCTTACCTTTAGGAATGAACAAATTCCCACAATGCAACTCGAATTGGTTTATTATTGGGCTTAATCTATGATGCTGAATTACAGCAGCCTCAAGTTGATAATCAAACTACTTACATATGAAGCTTAGAGTTTAACTTTCACAACCCTTTTACTCTAAGGAACATTTCTTACTCTAGTGAATAGTGAAGAACTTTGGATCCATCTTTAATATATTCATTTATATGAAATACGTTACAAATATGGATTTTTTCATCACACTTTACCTTTCTGTCTAATCACCAAAACTAATATCACACTATCTTTTCAAAAAAAAATATATATCTCAAGCCATTCAGCCTATTAATCAAAATTGATGCTAGTTTCTTAATTCTCGACATGCATGGGCTAAAGGAGCAACCTTGTAACAAACTTTTCTAACCTCATGTTATGTGGCAATAAAAGAACTCTATCATATCATGCATTTTCCTCTTGCATAGATTAGTCCTAACACCTATGTGTCCTATTTTATTTATCAACCTTACTCTCATCCCTCTTATATTACCACAGTTTCCTCCTTTCTAATCCTCATTTTTCTTATTTATTCTTCATCGCCTTTATCCCCTTCACCTCTTGTGGTTACACCTCATCCACCTACCCTTATTACCAACCAAGTCACCTTACTTATACATATCTTTATGACCACATTCACCCATCTTTTTTTTATATCAACTCTCTCACATATAGTTCTTCCAATTTCTCCCTAGTTCTTTGAATCTTTCTCTTATATCTCTACTACATGTACCACTTCTTGCACATTTACCTATCAAAAATAAGCTCATCTGCACCAACCTTAGGAAGCTCAAAAGGCCTAACCACTATCACCTTTACAGACTTTTCATATAAAAAATCCAAACTTAACCCCTATCTACTTACACCCCTCCCATAATTAACCTGGACCCCTCTATTTCTAATAGAGGCCCACCTCATCCTCGTATTTTTGACCCATTCTCCCTATTCATACCCTAAAATTTTCTCACCTATCACCATTTTCCTCTAAAATGATGCTCATAGTAGTAAACTATTGAGAATTGGGGCCAAACTCAACAATTTGTCTACTATATGCCTTTGTACATACCTCCAAATCCTTAATCATGTTTTTATCTAAAACTAAACTTTTAGACATGTAAAAACAAGATCTTTTACTAAACTAAAATTTCTAAGCTTTGCAACTTGGCTATCTAATGGTGTTAAAAGTGGTCTTGGTATGACTTTTTTATTATACTCTCAAAATACAAGTACCATTCCTCAAAAATATTTAATTATCATGCTTATTGAATCCTCAAACACTCCACACACTTCGATGTATATTGTAGTCTATGGTTCATTATATCTTAATGAAAAAAGAAACATATTTTTGGAATTTACTTACCTCTATCTCACACCCTCATAATTTCCCTTAGTTAGTCATAGATGACTTTAATGCAATATTTAGACATATAGAACACAATAACTACCAAGGGCAAGAATAAAGAGAACCCATATTACTGTGTCTAATAAGTGTTTAGGTAAATTATGGCGTAAAGAGAACCCCTAAATTGGGTCTAATAAGTGTATAGGGCTAGTAAATATTAGAGCTAGATTAGAGATAACACTAGCTAATGCACAATAATAAATAATATTCCCAACACTACTATTATTCATTGCCAAGCAATCTTGTCATGTCATAATCTATCTTATTAGAGATACAAGAACTCTACCCACCCATCCATAAATTATCTCAATTTAAATTTAAAAACACATGGCTACATGGCCCAGCCTGTCTACTAGTAATACAAAATGCTTAGAAAAAAAAAACTACTTTGGGTAAATTCAATAAATAATGTGTTTGAACTAAATCTCAAAGAAATGATATCATGTAGGGAACTAAGAACCAAATATTGAAGCTTTAGTTTCAGTCCGATAAGAAATGGCTTAATTGAAATTTAATGAATGATATCATGTAGGGAACTAAGAACCAAATATTGAAGTTTTGGTTTGAGTCCATTAAGAAACAGTTGAGTTTATTCAATGAGCAATAGACTCTATTTAGTAAGACATCAAAGACTTCAAAATATTGTTGGAGGATAAGTCTGCATGTAAAAGAATAAATAGAGAGATTGTTATAATTAAACTCTATTTAGTAAGAGATCAATGATGCATGTGAAAGAAAAAATAGCATGAAATATCTCCAGGTGTTTTAAGGAGAGATAACAACATAAAAGAATATAAGAAAAAAAAAATGGAACAAGAAAACACATAAGAAATAACTGAAACAAACCAACTTTGTGTAATAATTGAACTTGGTCAATTTGGTTAATAATTGAATAATTGAAAAAATGAAATTAATATATAAATAATTATTAATTAAAAAAGAAACTCTAATTGATTTATGACTCTATGTTATATATTATGTATTATTAATAAATAAATTATAATGAAAAAATATATAAAAAAACTAATTGATTTTTTAGTTAGTTTGGTTCCAAAATTTTAAAATCGAGATTGAACAAATAAAGGGCCATCATATTTTGTTTTTAATTGATTAAACAAAATAAAATTGAACAAATTGAATCGATTTCTTTAAGTCTATATAGTTTTTTTTTATTCTTATTTTTTATGGAAGTAGAAGAGAGTTAAAAGTTTTAGATATTAAAAAAGAAAAAAAAGGAAGATAGAAAGAAGATTTCATCATGTTGTTTGATATAAGTTTAATACATCGTAATGTGTCATATGTATTTAACTCTATATAAACCATAATATATTTCTGATTACTAATGTTTTATTATCCACTAAGAGTATAAGGTATAAAAATCATCCATCTACAAATATTTTTTCTTTTTTTCTTTTTTTTTTTTTTCCAAATGTTGAGGTTAAAGTTAATTGTGTTTGACACATGTAATTAACAATTCTCTTTATAACTAATTGTAAATTAAAAATTACTTACATACTCATAGTTAGATGGAGATAGAGAAAGAGAAAGAGTTTAAGTGAGAATTTTTAAAAACTAAGAAAGAAAAAAGAAGCATTCAATTGGAAGGCATATATATATATATATATATATATATTCAAGAGTGTTGGGAGTTGTGGAACATGATTCCTTGTTGATCAGGAGAAAGCAATGGTGATTGGCGAGTCAAGAAATTAAGCTGGTCAATGGAGATTGAAGGCATGGGGTAGTAATTAAGACACGTCAACACTTGGTAAAGCAATTTGTACAGGTGGAAGGAAGGCACGTTTCACAACTTCCCAAACTCCATTTTTCTTCGTAATTTTTTGAGGGTTGAATCAGAATCGACATCAACTGCACATGCTCTCTTCTCAACATCCGCCGACAACTCTCCTGCATTTTAATTTACTTCAAACTATTATTATTCATAGTTCTTCCGTTGGTGGGTAGTTTTTCTACCATTTCTTCACTAGAACTAAGTCCAACTTTACATTTTATGTACGTATTTTAGATGTATTCCTACTACATAGGTTTATTGTTGGGTTTTAAACTCTTATTCTCGTATTTCATTTTAGAAGGGTAATTGTGTAATTGTCAAAATATATAAATATCAACTATTAATACCAACAAGGAGCAAAAACTGTTTTTTTTTTTTAATTTTAATTTTAATTTTAGTTTGTTGTTTGAGAATGGAAGAGTAAGTTTGGTACATAAAAATAATTTTAGTTTCTAATTTTTTGAGTTTATATGTACTTTGGGTTAAATTTTTAAAAACTATATTCAATTTGTTTACACACCTTTTTACGGGAAGAATACCCACCAGAAAAATAGTAATAAAATGTAAAAATACTAATAAAATTAAAAGCTAATACATTGAAGGAAGAAATGGGCATTTTCCAAGCACAAGCATCTTATAATAATTATTATTCAAAATAGCAGTCACCAGTCACCTCTATATATATATATATATATATATGTCATTACCCAGTTGTGATAAAGTCTTTTTTATATAATATATATAAACTAGAGCTGCGGGCTACAACTTTCCTTTTCCTGCAGTGCAGCCGCTTCAGCCCCTGACTCTTTTTTCCTCTTGCTCAGGCTGGCTTTTTACTATTACTGCCACTCCGAGTAATTGCTACAAAACACTCCAAATTATAAAAAAAAACACAAAGGGTTCAACATTTTCCTCCCTATTTTCTGTTCTACCAAACAAGCCCTGTAACTTTTACTACGCCACACCTAGCACTTCTAATTTTCCCAGGAAAATGAAGGAAAATAGAAGGGTAACTAAAAAAAGAAAACATTTAAGAAAAAAGGTGTTGGAGAGTAAAAGCATAAAAATGGGCTAGACACGGAAATTCTTTCCGGTGAAGGTTTGACCGAACTGCCAATTAGCTGGTGCCACGTTGCGCGAGGATGAGCTTCGGCGGTCACTGGCTGTCACTCTAAACGAGAGGGCCTGGCCCACAAGAACGGCGTTTGACTGCCAGTTTTGACCCCAGTTACGACTCATGCTTAGCCATCCGGTCTTGGTTCCCTTCACGCTCACCTTCATGATATCCCCTGCACCCGCGACGTTGGTGATCAAAACCAGGTTGAAGTAACGGAAGCCGTTGATTGTGAATCTGATTCCCCCTTGCTTCCTGCATGGGACCCTGTAAAAAAATATTAATGGCTAAATTATTTTTTTAATTTAAAAAAAAGAAAGACAAAAGGGTATTTTCGTAAATTTAATTTACAGAAATTAATTGATGTTTCTTCCACCATTGATGAGAGACTCGATACAGGCGTGGGACAACGTGAGGGCTGTGTCTTACTTTCTTTCCCTGGTTTACAAGGCAGAATCCTGTCCTGATTTTCCGGGAAAATTAACCTTGTTTGGATTGGAGTGATGTCCTTGGGATTGTATGAGGATGAGAGGAGATCAGGGTATGGGTATTCTGGTAATTAAGCTAAAAATGATTCTGCCGAAAGTGAAAAAAAAAGAAGAGACGGATTTCCGTTGGTTAAGTTTTGCTAAACGACATAAAATCTGAGCGTATTCTCAACCAACACACGCTCACTGTTGATTCTTTTGAGGTACTGTTTGTTTCCCGAGAAAACAAAAAATATTATTAAATTTTAACAAAACCTAGAACCCCCATATTTTCATCCACTGTTTGCTTCGTAAAAACAAAATCGACAGCCAAGCATGAAACATTACTCCCTAAGCAATACCTATTTTCCTCTTTATTTTCTTATCCCGTTCTAATTTCATCATCACCTTCGCTTAGCCGAGAAGAAAAGAGATTATACATAATAGGCCCAGATTTTAATGCCATTTAGTTTTGGCCCATTTTTCCCGGTCAATAAACACTTCACAGAACTCAATAAACAATGGGAATTCCTAGTTCGGACTCCAGTAAAACCCGTGAAAACTATTTTCAGTAGAGAATATCTATAATGGTTTATAATGATGATGAAATTAAAACATGAATTGGTCTTTTAGGTTAGAAATGTTTGAGCTATTTAGAAAAAAAAAAAAAAAGGCTACTCAAATTAAAGCTAAAGAGCTTTTAGCATTTGGACTGCGAATGAATCTGATTCAGAACAAGATAAAATCAGTGAGAAAAGAATCAATCAACTCACTACGGTAGCTGACGGGGACAATTCCGGCGCGGTATTCAGCGATCTTGAGGAACATAGGCATGGCGAGATCGAAGTGAGGACGGGGAGGGTTACACCAACCGCCATTGTCGCTTGGCAGAGCATAGTTTGGAGGACAGAAATTCGTAGCAGTAATGAAGATGGAAGGGCCACCGGGATGACACCATCTTGGATCATTCGCACACTTTATCTCGAAGCATGAACCACAACTCAGTCCGTCGTTAAACAGAGCGGTACTGAGTGCCGCTGTGTTCACGCCATAGCCCTGGCTGTACAAATTCCCGTAACCACACGCGCCACCTGTATATTCCGGGAAAACCTCAAACACTCATCATTCCTACCAATTGATCGGTCACATGTTTAAAGGATAATCAGAGACGTATCCCTAGATCCAAGGTTGAAGAAACCAGAGGAGCGATTCGAGTGAACGTGAAATTCGAGAATCAACTAAATTTAAAATTGTTTACAGATTTAAACGCGGAAACAAGAAAGAGCATGAAAAACCCGTGAAATGCAGAAGAACAGATAAGAGAGAGAGTAGATAAAGGTTGAAGAAGCAAAATACCCATGGTTCCAGATGCGTCATTGCCACCATAGAAGGTAGCATGAGCAGTTTGCCAAGGTCCACCACTGTAAACTCCTGGAATTCTCGCATTCGCCATAGAAAAAAGCGTAACCATTAAAACAAAAGCTAAGCATATCGATCTCACAGAGGCAGCCATTGTATGTATTGATAGAGAGAAAGAGAGAGGGTTTTGCCTGTTAGTGAGGTTTGGGTCGAAGAGAAAGAGGAAGGGAGGAAGGGTACTTATGGGAGAGACGAGGGGAGACGAAGGGGTCAAGACCTTCAAAAATTATTACGCGTCTGTTATTACTGACAGTTACTTTTTTTATTTATTTTTTAATTAAATTAATATTTTTCATCAATTTTATTCGGTAAATAAATAATTTTTTAAACATGTTATTACTTGTAGCTTATTTATGACGCAATTAATATGTGGATTAAATTTATAACAAAAAATTAAAAGAAATAATTTTTAATATCTTTTAAATTGTTGATAACTCATAAAAAAATATATTTAACTAATAAATTAACTGAAAAGCTAATTTTAAAAAATTTAAAAAAAAAAATCATGAAGGTTGTTATTATAATCAAACCACTAAAAAAAGAATGGTTATTTTTATAATTAAAACTGTTTTTTTATAATTAAATATTGCTTTTGACTCCTTTTTTAAATTTTAAAAAATATATATTTTTTATTTTTTAATGTCTTTTTCAGATTCTATCTGGGCCTATTGAATTTGGTCTTCTGGCGGGTATCTATGGAATTTATGTCCAATATAATTATAAATAAAATTTTATTATTGAATTAAATATCCATTAAAATTTTAAGAGTTATACATAAAAAAAATAATAATAACTTATATATTAATGTATGTACGTAATTTCAAAATTTTTGAACTAATAAAAAATATTATAATTTTGAAATATTTGAATTGATAAAAAATGTTAAAAAAATTTCAATTAGTAATTCCTATAGAGAAAACTATTCATATCTTTTTACTTGTTATGACATTGTAATAAAATAATTTTTAAAGAAAAATTAGACTTTATAATATATTATTTTTAAAAAGATAGCTGAAAATTAAAATATATATGAAGAAGTACATGCAAGAAATAAATAAAGAAAATATATACAATGCATATAAATTTAGAACATAATTTACATTATGTATATAAGGAAAGAATGATTATTTGACCTTGAATATTTTACTATTAGAATAAACTTCAAAAAATTGCATATTCAAACAATCATAATATAAACATTTTTATTATAATTATAAATTTATATTTTTTAAGGTGAAGAATAATAGTTAGAAAAAATTAAAGATTGTTGATATCACAATAATTATTTAA